GACAATTTAAAAAAATTTATGCGTTATCATTTAGCCTTTATGTTTTTAAACCATCAAATTTATCATAACTATTGTAACATAACGTTCAATCATGATTAAATCATATATTAAATTATCTATTAAAAACATTTTAAATAAAGTCCAAAAATTTAACAATATTTCCCGATTATTGTGTTCAATTGGCTTTTGTATGCAATTATCAAATATATTATCGCAATATTTATCATATGAGACGACAACTCATGTCCACATCGAGACCGAGACAATCATATCGTTGCCCGCAATCACTCTATGTGTTAATAAAACTGTTTATTTACGCAAACATTTCATCACTAAAATGTCACTCGAATTATCCAATATAACCGACATCGAAGCGATCATTGTTCGGCGCTACCTAAACAATATGTCAATCGTCGAGCAATATATGGCGCTTCGTCACCCTGGTGATGTTTACAAAGATTGTAACATTTATAAGCCATTAGCAATGGCTAAGGCAATAAAAAGTAAACTTGTAAATTGCAGTGTTTTATCACCAGTTGGTCACTCTATTAGCCATAAATACTATTGTATGACTTTATTCTCACAATTGGACGGCCAGTCGGACGATATGTACCGAATCCGGGCGAAGTCCAGCAAAAAGCAGGGTGAAAGGTATTTCGTACAATTTACAAAGATCCTTTTAGGTAATTCGCTGACCATGCACATACATCCAAGAGCCGAGTTGGTTAGTCAGCCCAAACAAATTGGACACAATTATCTCAGGATCAGAGTTGATTATATTGTGCTGGAGTACCAGAAAACGGTGGTCAAACTTCTGCCGGAACCGTACGGCACACGTTGTCTCAACTATCGGCCACTCGGGCACCAATCGAGAGCTGACTGTCACGCGAAATGTATGATTGATGTTAATGTTAAGCAAAGCGTCTCTTTGCCGTACAATTATCTTATATATGACCGCAATATGAGTCTGAAATTTGTGGACACATCCAATGGCGACGACCGTATGGTTACGGAGTGTAACGTTGTTTGCGGTCAGAGACCCGACTGTTACCGAGAGTACTATCAGATTGTCCAGAAAGATACGAGTGTACCATGGTCAGGTGGTGTGGTTTCTAAGCCAGTTGAAACATTGAGATTCCTGGTGCCATCCCTACCGGTGTTCACGTTTAGACAAATGCCTAAAACAGAATTGAGTGAATTTCTGTGTCTAATCGCCAGTATATTTAGCCTATGGTTCGGCTTATCGTTACTATTTGTTTCAAACGTATGCATTGAATCCGCGATTAATATCTATAAAAAGGTTTATTCAAAGCGTAATAATACTATTAATAATGTGTTTGTTATGAATATCATTCAACGAAATGATCATGCACACAACAACTCAAATGTAATCAAACGCACCGCACACTCTTAGATCGCATTTACATTTATAACTAAATTAATTATTAAATTTAAAATAAGTTCATATAAATTGTGTAATTTTCTCTTTGATTCCCATATATATTCTCATTTGCATTGACACAAAACGGATTGAATTTCATACTTAATGTACAAAATATTCTTGAAAATAAAAATTGATTATAAATTCTGTGATATATTTCAATCCAAAAGCGGAAAACTTTATTTGAAATTATTTTGTGAAATAAAGCGCTGAATTGAACAATCATTTGATATACATTTTCTGATATGTATGTCGTGGGCGGCGCCACTCCCATGGCGTCGGTGTCCATACGGGCGCTGTTGTCGAAGTTGGCCGCCGGACAAGAGTTGGGTAAAGTGTTCAGTTTGTTGGCAGCCCTCGAAACGGTGGTCCCGTCTGTCGGCACTTTCATATACAATACACTCTTCGCCTATACTATACACTCGTACCCGAGTCTGGCCTTTCAAATAGCCGGTGCCCTCGTGTTTGTGCCCATCGGTGTCTTCATTGGCATTGATTTGACCGCAAAGTCATAGCGTTTGACATTATATTTCGTTATAATTTATTTAATTATTATATAATTTCACATTTTTAATTGAAATATTTAATTCTCTCTCTCTCTCTCGTTATAATTTTATGGAAAATCTGTTATAATAACATTTTGATGCATTTTTTAATAGACGTATTAATAAATAAAAATTATATCGCTTTTTGAATAATAACTATTGTTTGTTTCAAACATTGCAATTTCGCGCACATTTTGTTTTAGGGCACAGAATATTCTGATAGTTATGGATACTTATAAAGTCGGGACTTATTATTACATTTTATTAAATTATTATCAATATTATGATACTTATTATTAAATAAAATAAAATTAATTTAAATATAAAATACATGATTGTAAATGTATTATTGATGGTTATGTAATGGCCGGGCGCTGAAGAGCACTCTTACGCTCAACACTGGACCCATACATGTCTATTGCATAAACTTACTGTAGACCCAAAGGCCAGCACTACATACCAGGTTCAAGGTCTGGAAGTGGTAACCTTTATATTATACTGTATAACGCTTACAAAGGATTACATAAGTATTTGTTATAAGTCTGGGTGTGGTATGAGTTGGGCTACTGTTGGTTGTAATATTGAAAAAGTTAGACTTCAATCTAATAGTCACTTCATTTTGTGAACAACTATTGAATTTTTTATCATAAGAAAGTGTTTTGAAAGTTTGAATTGATTTTGTGATTAATAATGTGTGAAATGTACGCAAAAGACTCTTTAGATCGATTCGGTGATGATTTGTGCGAAGAGTTGTTGTCTTATCTCTCACTCGAAGACAAATTCAGATTTGAATGCATTTCAAAACAGTGGCGAAGAGTCGTCTATAAGAGACAAACGGTGTTAACATTTAAAGGCTTTTCTGCGAAAGGATTTATTCCGAGGAAAGGTTTTCAATCAAAACTATTGTCATTCAAGAGACTAATTAAGACCAGAATTGGCCACAAATTCAATAAAAATGAATACAATTGGAGTGTATTTGAGACAATTGTGAAGAAATGCACAAATATTTCATATATTAATTTGTTGTATTCCGAAGACAAAGCCATTGACCTAATAGTGAAATACTGCTCACAATTAACTTACATTTGCATTGATTTCAAAGGCATTAGTATTGAAAGGATTGAGAAATTTTTTATGAAATTTGGTCCACAATTGAAAACAATTAAATTACTTGAATTCAGTGAAAGAGTGGACAAAAAGTCAATTATTAAATGGATGGAAATGTGTGTCAATACGGAGTCATTTTATATCTCTACTAAATCAGACTCAAAATCACAGATAACATTACAATCGGTGACCAAAAGTCAAGTATTTTTTAAACGGCTAAAAAAACTCCACTTAAATATTTGCAGACAAGACGCAGACAATACGGCCCAAGAAATTGATGCTTTGGATGTGTTTGTCGGTCAATACGGACACCAAATAAAGACATTTGTATTGAAGGCGTTGTGGATATTAGATGTACCCGATATATACCAAGTGTTGGATATACTGATTGATATATTGCCGCGAATGCCGGCATTGGTTGGACTCGAACTCCATGTACGATGGAATTCGTCACAAGAGTTGATCCCATTTTTCACAACAATTGGTATCAATTGTCGACATCTTAAAAGTCTTACTATTTCTGGCTATAAATGGACACCAGAATTGATTCATACGATTAGTGAACACTTTATTGCGTTAAAAAGAATGGAAATCTGTTGCCATATATTTTCTTATTCTGAAGTGTTTCCGATCGACAATATATTTATGCCATTCAAACGATTAACTCATTTGAAACTATCGATACTAAGTTTGAGACCGCTATATACGGACCAAGTCTTCATTAATATTGGCCATAATTTACCAAATGTTCAGTATTTGGACGTAGACTACGTGACTACGAGCGACGAGTCGTTGATATCAATGTTTAGATTGAGACAAATCCGTGGCATTACTCTCACCGATAGGACTAAACGCTGGGAACGACATATGAGTGAATTGTGTGTCAATAATCTCTCCACTAATTGTCTTATTTGTTTTATTAAATTAAATAGACTTTGAAAACAAAATTATTTAAATAGTTTTATTCGTAAATTATTTAAGTATTAACGACTTTCGCCGCATAGAATTGCATGCAATTATATCTAGATTTTAGGCAAATTTCAAAAGTGCTAAACCAGGGCAATTATATCCGGATACAATTGCCCCCCATATTAAAAACTCACATATAATTGCCCCCAAACGCTGTACACATTTATTGGTTAGCTATTCAAACAGTTTTATTAATGAAATGAAATACAGAAATAGTCAATCATTTTAAAAACAAATATAATTAAAATTTTAATTCATATCGATTTCCGATATTTAAGATAATAATTCCCATCTATCGATATCTTCATTCTGTCTTTCATTGCTACCCAATGCTGTATATTTTGACGGGAAGTCTTGAACCTAATAGCCGTCGATCGCTTATTAGATCCATTGGCCTTAAACCACTTAATGGCCGACAGTTTGGTAAATAGAGTGAATGACTTGCGGCCGCCTTTTCCATTGCATTTAGTAGTTGTCCGACTCTGACCACTGTTACCACTCTCTGTGTTTGCATTGCTTTTACTTTGACTTGCATTCAATGAAGGGTTATTTTTACTCAAATCTAATGTATTCGGTATCTGTTGCAACCCATCCATTGATTCCTCATTTGATAACTCAATTACTTCAGACATTGTGTCACAAATACCTGACACTCATTCACATTAAACAAAAAGCACACCAATTGATAGGAAAGGGAAACATATAATTCACAAAAAAAAACTTTTAGTCAGTTTGATTTTATGTGAATTTGAGGGCAACTATATGTGAATTTTGATAAATGCCTAAATGATAGCAAAACTGAGGGCAACTCTATCCGGATATAATTGCCCCCCGACTTAGAGATCTAGATATAATTGCCCTGCAATTATATGCGGCACANTAAAAATGTGAAATTATATAATAATTAAATAAATTATAACGAAATATAATGTCAAACGCTATGACTTTGCGGTCAAATCAATGCCAATGAAGACACCGATGGGCACAAACACGAGGGCACCGGCTATTTGAAAGGCCAGACTCGGGTACGAGTGTATAGTATAGGCGAAGAGTGTATTGTATATGAAAGTGCCGACAGACGGGACCACCGTTTCGAGGGCTGCCAACAAACTGAACACTTTACCCAACTCTTGTCCGGCGGCCAACTTCGACAACAGCGCCCGTATGGACACCGACGCCATGGGAGTGGCGCCGCCCACGACATACATGGCGTACGCGCCCACCGGCGACAGTATTGAGCCGATGGCCAGCGCCGACGTCATGATCGCCACAAAGCCCACAATACCCAGCGTAGTGTCCGTCACGCGTAGCCAACCGGACAGCACCAGTACCGCCGGCCCGACGATAGCCACCTGCGCTACGGAGGCCATCGATTTGACCATGCTGAAATGGGCGGCGTCCCAGCCGTACACTTTCTCCGCGTAGGGAAACACTATCTGAAACTCTTTGACCAAAGTTATCAACACCATTGACATGCATAGGTATAGTAGCCATAGTCGCGCCCTCTGACCCCCTGGCCGTGGTTTCAACGCTGTTCGCCACACGTCCCGCACGTTCCCGATGTCCACCAGCCGTCGCCACCGGAACTCCGTGTCCATTGTGTGCCCGGTTTGGCAGCCAATCAATGCTAGCGACTCGTCGTCGAGAGGACTGCTATTGATCACAGCATTTTGGTTGTGGTCTCCGACCCCGAGTGTTGGATCCGCTTCTGGTGACGGCCTCTTTCGGTTCTCATTGATTACGAACAGTACCCATAAGAATGAGACTATAGTTGCGGCCAATGATATGCCAAACACTCGGCTATAGTTGTGGATTTGGTGGTGAGTCGGGTGTGGATTACCCGAACCTATCAGTACGCCTCCCAGGTATGTACCCAATGGACCCGCTGTTTAGGTTAATCAAAATCCTTGTGCTAATTAATTAATAATATGATTTATCATTATGAACAGATTGATCTTGAATGTAGATTCCATATAGATCAAACTTGTTATAATATCCAGTTTGATATGTTTGTAAAAACATAGTGTGTATATTATCCAGTACAATGTACAGTAATATCACAATAAGGTGCCTCACAATAGTATAAAGTTCACCATTCTCAATAATATAATTGTCTATAATGAGATTTTATTAGAGATAGAGTAATTAGGAGCTAAATGTGACAAAACTATGTCAAGTGTGAAACCTTACATGATAATTTACGTAAAATGAGTATTAAATTAAGTATTAGATTATCAAGGAATAAACTAATAAACACTAAATAGCATCGATCATCTTGAACTACCTAATATGCCTATGATATGTGAATGAATGTCAAGAATATTCTTGATACAAACTTTTATATGTTAAACAATACACATAATCTATGGGACTGTGAGTGTATGAGAACATGTATAGGGAGTTGTGCGGACACATACCTGTTGTGGCCGACACTTCAAATGCCATAAATTTAATAAACCGATACTCTTGTGGGGAATTGTGTGTCATATAGCTATAGCTGGTCAGCCATATGGCCGCCCACCCGCCCATCAATGCACTCGACACGTATGAAAGTAGTATGTAATGCACATCTATAGCAAATACAATTATATTATTTGAATAATCATGGTCATATTTTAGTAATTAAAATTCATTTGACTACGGAATATATTTACGAGGTTTTAGTTATTTTACTATTATAACAATTATCTTACTATCATCAATTTTTGAAAATTAAAATAATTCTACTTTAATTAATAATAAAAATTATAAACAATATTGTGACAAAACTCCTGTTTACTTTATATTAAATGATCAATTTCATATTTTTATAAATTATAAATGATGCTTAAATTTAAAAAAAAATAATTTAAAGTTTAATAAATTGTTAGTTAATGAATAAATGCTTTAAATTGAAAGCTTTCATTAATTGAACAAATTGAGTGAAGACATTTAATAAATACCCAGATTAAATATAAGTGAATTGGTCAATAGGCCCGCATATTGTCCAGCATAGCCTACTGCGCCCATGAGCAGGATCATTTTGCGACCATGAACATAACTATCAGTCCACGAGCCGATAAAAAGCACCAAGACAAAACCGGGCAGTGTTGATATAGCCTGGCGATATATATCAAAGTGAGCTACGTCAGCGAGTATTTTATCCTTGATGGTAAAATCGGATGTCAGGGTACCCGTATCCCTGTGCTGACCGCCACCGCTCACTGTTTTCATTGAACTAATGCTAATACAGTAATCGGAGCTCATGTTATACTTTTGGAGACAGATCTTGTCCTGAATCAGTTGAGTGGCCGTAATGTCGGCCAATCCGGTGGCCATTATGTATAGGAAAATGAACGGTTCAATCTTCAGGGATCGGATCACTGCCCGCGCGACCGACCACTTCCATCGGCCAGCGGTCGGCCCGTCGCTGACAGACTCCCTGTCCATTACAGTCAATCGGCCGGTTATGCTGTATGGTATTAATACTATTAATTTAGCAGGGTCGTACACTGTTCACTGAATTTACCTTTATGTGTGATATTTCCGTGGTGTAAACATTTGTTTTAACCTTGGTTAAATAATCTTATTGTAAAAATGCACTTAAATTATGATTACAAATACGTTTGCGTTAAATACAAGCGAAACAAATTTTGCCATTTATTAATTCACAACAAATTTAATACATAATTAAATAATTATTTTTACCTTAAATAAGTGTTATTATTATTAAATTAATGTTTAATTATTAAACTCATGACTGCGCGTATATTTGTGTATATAGAAAAACGATCTTGGCGCTAAGTTTTATTTATTTTATATCAAATAACCAATTTAATATTTGTATAAATATAAATAAATAACCAAATACAGTAATACAAACGATATCCAGATTTCAATACAAGTTTAGTAATTCATTTGTAAAATAAACTACAATTACACTTTATTTAATGTCTATCATATGATTTTTATTTACGTTTACATTTAATTGCATTTTCAATTCAAACCTAATGTTATAAACAATTATTTAATGGGGAAAAAAGTTTTATTTCATTTCTCCACTAAATTGATTACAAATTGTTGTAAATGTTATAAAAAAGTTTTTTGCTTAACTTTTTATTTCTTATCATCATACTATTATGTACAGTGAACTTCAGTTAGAGTTTACACAAGGTCTATATATACAGGATGCTGAATTAGTATAAATTGCATTGTAATTGTTTTTAATTTTAATTTTTATTGAGATTAAATAAGTTATTTTAGTTTTGCTACATAAATATTAGGAAATTTAATGTGTGTTCACTATTAAATATATTTGTACACTATATGGCGGAACAATTAGATGCATGTTTATCTATAAATGTGATTAAATAACTTGTGGTACATTTGATTCACTGCAAAGTTATCATTACAACAAATCGCACTAAAGTACTAAATGAATAATAAATATGTTGTAAACATTTAATTAATCGAGTTATAAGTTATAACTTTTAACACCCGGGTAACCGTCATAAATATTCAGTACATGTAAATTATTTATGACAAGTATTTTTATTGGCTTTTAAAACCGTCAATTCACCATGATGATTTACCCTACCCCTACTATGGAAAACAATAGTTATAAATTATAACTTATACTATAATTAAATATTGGTATTAATATTTAATTTTAGTCGTAATGAATTAATTGTAATAATTTTAATCAAGTCATAAACAATGAATAAGTGTATTCACGCCAATGAACTCCCATTTAAGAGTTGGAGTAGAAAAGCCAAGTTTCTTAATTATATCGGGTGTAATTACTTTCCTACAATTTATCCAGATTATTTTTATATAAAGCAGTTAATCAATGCAACTTACATGTAAGCTGCTAAATCATTAACTAAGTTTAACGTAAGTTTAATCATTACATTCAACTGTGTTTAATTTAATTTATTTATTTATGTAAAAATGAATAAATTCTACTTATCTGACATTGTTTAAATTAAATTACATAAATAATTAAAAGTAAAATTGATTTAGTAAACATTATTTCTTAAATAAATAAATCTATGAATGAGAATTTAACTACTGTAATTATATAATCTAGCACTTTTATACACATATAAATAAGGTTCATTACGAGAGGGAAGATATATATTTTCCCTTATTTTTCCTCCCAAAAAATGGGAAAATCCCGGAAGATATAAATGGCATGGGAACTAAAATTCTCAAGGGAAAATATCTTTTTAAAAA